TTTGCAGCAACTGAAGGAATCTGAGGACAGAGGGAGGAAAAGAGAGAAACTAGGACCTTTTAAAGGTAGAGGAAAATGTGGGAAGGCAGAGGATTAATTGGAAATATCCTTTCCAAATCAGGAGAGTTAGAGGGTATATGGAAGATATATCGTACCAGCTTCTGTATACCGGAGAGGAACAGACTTCAACATGTATAGTCAAGAAAATAACCTTTCAAGGTCCTCCAGACAGTGTGAATTTATATCAGCACATTGTGTTTTTTGTTACTGTACTTCTCCCATCTTTTCTTTCAAGATCCAAACAACGTTTCTATTGTCTGGATTATTTCCTGGACACTTCTAGGACTAGACACAACATTTTATTCGTATCCTTGGGTAGGTTCCATTTTAATCCTGAGACAAATTGAAACAATTCCTTCCTTCCTCCTCCTATCATTTTAAAAAAGATTTTTTAAGAGATAGTGCTATAGTGCATTAGCGACAGTAGCACCTTTGCAGTATAACTCTTGGTTGTTGCATGCCTTCAGGTCGACTCCAATTTATGACACCTCTCTCTTAGAGTTTTCTTGGCAAGATTTATTATTCAGGGGAGGTTTGCCGTTCCTTTCCTCTAAGTTTGAGAGAGAAAGTGTGACTTGCCCAATGTCACCCGGTGGGTTTACCTGTCTGAGCAGGGATTTGAACCCTGGTCTCCCAGACTCCTAGTCCAGCATTCAAACCATTACACCACACTGGAACTGGAACTAGAACTCTTAGGGGGGAAAAAACCAGGAGAGAAAAGTATATCTTTCAAGCCACCTTAGCAAACCATGCCCCAGTTCTTAAAAAATATTTGAAATATTTGAAAGAACCCTAATGCGGATCCAAAAAAGTATGACAAACAGTCCCCTAAAAGAGAAGAAGGAACAGATGCAAAGTTGAGAAAAAATCAGAAATCTCAGACTTGTGCCACTTTTATTATTTGAAAGGCACACAGTCCACTGGGAAGTTATTCTGTCGAAGTCACTGAGGTGCAGTTGCCAAATCTGTAGGCCAGCTCCGGATCTCAGCATGTGGACCTTCTCCTTCAGTCCTCTGGTGCTAAGTAAGAAATCTCAGGGTAAGAGCACTGTCTTAAAGGCTGGTGCGTGTGTTCCCCCCCCCCAATAGTTAGAATTGGGGTGCAACTACACTGCAGACTCAATGCCATTAATGTTAAACTGCATTAAGTCTGCAGTGTGGCCTTAGTGTTTTTTACATTTGAATGGAGAATGCCATAATCACCATGGGTTTCAGAAAACACATCGTGCCAGACTGACTTCTTTGGTGGATGAAGGGAATGCTGTGGATGTAGCATATCTTGATTTCGGTAAGGTTCCCCATGACATTCTGGCAAACAAGATACAGAAATGTGGGCTATACAAGGTGTTACATGGATTTGTAATTGGTTGACCAGCTGAACCCAACAATGGCTCCTTTTCGTCCTGGAGAGAAGTGACCAGTGGGGTGTCCAGTGGGGTTCTGTCCTGGGCCCAGGGCTATTAAACATCTTTATCAATGACTTGAATAAAACAATAGGGGGCATGCTTCTCAAATTTGTAGATGACACCAAATTAGGAGGAATAGCGAATACCACAGAGGGGAGGATGAAAATTCAAAATGACTTGAACAGACTAGAAAGCTGGGCCAAAGCTAACAAAATGAAATTCAACATGGAGAAATGTAAGGTACTGCACTTAGGGCGGAAAAACAAAAAGTACAGATATACGATGGGGGACACCTGGCTGAATGAGATTTCTACATGTGAAAGGGATCTAGGAATCCAGGTGGACCACAAGTTGAACATGAGTCAACAGTGCGATGCAGCAGCTAAAAAGGCCAATGCAATTTTGGGCTGCATCAGTAGAAGTATAGTGTCTAGATCAAGAGAAGTCATAGTGCCACTCCATTCTGCTTTGGTCCGGCCTCACCTGGAATACTGTGTCCAGTTCTGGGCACCACAATTCAAAAAGGATGTGGAGAAACTGGAGCGTGTCCAAAGGAGGGCAACTAAAGGGCATAGTTTCCTTATGAGGAGAGACTTAGGGAGATGGGGATGTTTAGCTTGGAGAAGAGAAGGTTAAGAGGTGATATGATAGCCCTGTATAAGTATTTGAAGGGAGGTCATATTGAGGAGAGAGCAAGCTTCTTTTCTGCTGCTCCAGAGACTAGGACCCGAAACAATGGGTGCAAGCTCCAGGAAAAGAGATTCCACCTCAACATTAGAGGGAACTTCCTGACAGTGAGATTTTGGTGGAGTCTCCTTCTTTGTAGGGTTTTAAGCAAAGGCTGGATGGCCATCTGTCGGGGATGCTTTGATTGAGAGTTCCTGCATGGCAGAATGGGGTTGGCCTGGATGGCCCTTGGGGTCTCTTCCAACTCTAGGATTCCACGATTCTATGGAGTACTCTGTGCGTCCATGGTTGATGCTTAATGCATCCTGTGTAATGGCCTCAGGAGGATCCAGTCCATCCCCTCCCTTATGGGATCACAAAGGGTAATTCCCTTGGTCTCAAGTTTTGTCTCTGAAATCTCAGGTCCTGAGATATTCCTGACCTGGCATCCCAATCCTAAAATAAATACCAGCCCCGGAAGCCCTCTCCTGTGTGCAAAAGACTTTCACAAACTGGGTTGTGTCCAAGAGCAACTAGTAGGGATATAAGAAACATCAAGGCATCTAAGCTTGGGGATGCCCCAAATTCCTAATACAAAGGGAGACTGGAAGTGAGCCAATGCAAGGGAAAAGTGAGAGGGGAAACATAGGGAGGGAGACTCCTGCATTTGTGGGTGATCATTCATCTCCTTTAATCTGCACACGGATTAATAATCTCTTACCATGTGTCCAGGAGTTGGACCAGCTATCCAGGAGCTACAATTCACATTTTAAATAGTTTGCAGACCCCTCTGGGCTGTTTTAACACTTGAAACAAAACATCCCAAAGTGGACTTTGGGCCACTTCTATACATTTGTTGGAAGAAATAAGACCATTTTATGTAGGCTGGCATTTGATTGATTTTTGAATTATTGGTGGAATAATGTTGATAGTGGTTTGATTTAAAAAAAAAAACTTTTGTTTTTAAATATGTTTGAAATTGTATTGTCATCTAATTGGTTTTTAAAATATATATATATATAAAATGCATATTTTAGCCAACTTCTATTTTCCATGTTGTAAGCCACCTTGGATCCTTGGGGAGAGAAAGGCCACCTATAAATGAAATAAATAAATAAATAAATAAAATAATTGTTGATAGCCCGTGTGACCTGTAGAGGAGCCTCAAGAATTAAAAAATTGCCCGCCAGGCTTGTTGGTGTTCCCTACCCTTGTTTTGTCTGCTTAGAGGCATCAGAATCAACACTTAAAGATTTAAATCAGACTTGAAAACCTGCCCAAAGAAATAGAAACCAAACTAAACAGAGGCTGGATGGCCATCTGTCGGGGATGCTTTGATTGTGAGTTCCTGCATGGCAGAATGGGGTTGGAGTGGATGGCCCTTGGGAGCTCTTCCAACTCTAGGATTCTATTAATTGAACAGGGCCAATCTGCAGTAATAATTTTTGTAGTAAAAATGGAAGTCAGCTTCAATGTATGGTGGCCTTTGAGAATGACAGAGATTCAAGAGCCCTGTTCATCCCAGGCCCTACTCAGGTCTTGCAATCTCAAGGCATCAGTATAGGGCAGGGGTCGGCAACCTACG